TATGTTATTAGTATTAAAATCTTAGTCTGTTTGTCATTATTTCAAATTTTTATAAATTAATAGAAGCCAATTTTTAGGTAGTTAATGGGTTAACTTTGGGTTGTTTTGGTCTCTGTTGGGTAGCTTCTTAGACTCGTTCACTGTTGAAATCTTCAACCGCTCCAATACATGAAAATCTTGAGGAAGTATCTTTAGGAAAAACACTCTGATATTCAAGTTAGCAATATTTAATATCCTAGAGAGAGAAGCTCTTAAGATAGAAATATTGCAGAGAGAAGTGTAGTGGACTTATTATTTTGTATGGAGATAGACGAGGATATTTATAACCTTCATTAATGACACCAATGCCATGTTGCACTCCCTTTCTGGTCCATTTGTCTCAAGCCACATGAGTACATTATGACTACTCTGTCTGCATCTTTGGGTTTTGTAGGAGTTGTTTGTGCCTAATGCCAATGTTGGGCTTATTCCTCAACATTACTCCCTTGTTAGCGTTCATTTATTGGAGCATTGTAATTCGCAGCACGGCCTAATATTGGCCTTAACAAGCAAAATCTAGTGATCTTAGGGCATGAAGCTTTAAGCCAAACCAAGGTGGATGAGCTCGTTTAGAATCTCTGAGGTCCGAGACAAGGGGAACGCTTTCAAAGCTCCAATTTGAAAACAATGTCTTCTAAGACCTCAAGAAATAATGAGCTCATGTTTAGAGGAACTTAGCGAGCTCATTCACCATGGTAAGCTTGTTTAAAACTTAGCCAGCTTATCCAAAAGCAAAATTTGAAAATGTAAGAATCATATTTGAACTTGGAGGCAAGCTCATTTACGATCTTTGGGTGAAATTGAACGGGCTCATTCAAAGGAAATTTTAAAATTTAAAATAAAATTCAAAAATCGTATCTTGAAAAATCTAATCAATTGTCAAACCTCCTGCCTCGCTTAATAGATGCTAGCTCAGCATTTAAAGGACAAGACAACTAAGGCCACTTCATGCTCCGTGCAAATAATGAACGGTTGCCATGTGGGCGTTGTTATCAAAGGAGTCAATACCGTACCGGTATTCGTACTGGTTTTGCTACTGGAATGGTATGTATCGGATACCGAAATTTTTTGCGTACCGTTTTGGATTTATCGTTATAAAAAAATTTTGTGAAGAAGTTGAAGAAAAAAAACAAGAAAAGGACTCAATTGGAAAAATTAAACAGCTGAGGATGAAATTTACTAAAATAAACTCATAAATCCAGTCCAATATTGAGCCCACTAACAATTTAATTCAAGTTTCAACCCAATTTCATAAACCAGCCCATCAAAACCCAAAATTTAACAATAAAAAGAAAACCCTAGTTTCCTCTCTCTTAAAGGGGGAAGGAGGAGGTGGCGGCTGGCAAAAAAAAAAAAAAAAAAAAAAAAAAGGAGGAGAAAACAGAAAAAAAGAGATAAGCCTCTTGATTTTTGTCCTTTTTGCAGATCCACCATCGCCACCATCACCTCCGTTCTTTCACCTCAAATCTTCACCATCCCTTTGCTGATCATCACTCTCATTGTCATCATCCTCACCAATCACCAAGCAGCCATAAAAAAAAAAAAAGAAACTAGAGAAGACGAAGCAGATCTAGCCGCAAGCTCCCTTGGGGACTCCAATCTTGACAATCTTATTGCATCTCATCATCATCACAGCCGCCACCTTCATCATCGGTAATCAC